TCCGAATCCATCAGAACAATTAAATACAACGAAACCATATTTCACATACACCATATCAGCCAAAAAATGATAGATTATACCAAAAAAATAATAGAACAACCTCACAGTATAAATTTTTGCTCTCAGGCAAAAAGTTTCCCACCCCACGATGAGCCGCCAACTTGGTTCTCTCCAGTTTTTCAAACGTTCCACCTGACATGCACTCCGAGGATTCTATACAAACAATTTTTGATACTCATAACTCTTTATATAATTCTGCCATTGACCCACATGACGAATTTTTAGAGCCTGAATCAAGTCCCAATACTTTCTCACAACCACCTTTTAACCCAATAACTCTCCTACTACAGGCAATAACCCTCTCCATTTCCAGTTCCACTTTTACTGATGCAACCCCCATTATATTCCCTCTCTCTAGTAACCTCCTTGATACTCCCAGCTAGAACACGATCTCGATTTCTTTTATACAAAACCAGCAACAAATTCATAAAACTAGTCGGCAACTTGCTATCCATCAACTTGCCCACTCAGCTTTACTCCCAGAACCAACAACATCATCTTTTCGTAGTGCTCCCACTCACGCACAACATCCTCATAAAAAGGAACTACCCCACAAATCCACCTAGATACTTAATCAATCGACCAACAGCATCACGACTCAATCGTAGCAATTACTCTAGACATATTAACACTAGACAAATCCTAGTTGAAATTAACCCATCTCACATGAATACATCCCACCTAGCGAAATACCCGTTTTAGAAAAAAATCATGAAACTAAATTCAATCACAAGCTATTCAGTCTAAAACAAAAAACTCACCTTGAAATTTCCTCCACTCCTGAAAAAGTCAAAACCATCCGTGCACTAGATCTTTCTTGTTTCTACGAACCTAAAACGTCATTCACATTATCGCAAAGATTTAATGCACTCACCCACGGCTTAAACTATCTTCACGATGGATTATCTTCCAAACCCGAACGACAAAAATTATAAATATGTGCTTTACCAATGACTTATCAATGTTCCACTCACCAATTCTACACGTGGGTTTCAAAAATTTTCTTCTAGATTTCATCAGTAATTTCTGAAAATATTGAGAAATTAAAAGAAAATTTGAAAGCTTCTTGGATCTTTCAAATAACTCACGCTAATTGTTTTTTAAAGCTCAGTATAACTCTCAAAATGCTTTATAATTTTTGATGCTTCTGCAGCAAATATAAACTAAAACGTATTGACCTATTACTGAGTAACAAATTAATTTATGAACTAACATTTTTTGTGTGCTCTTTTTTTGTAGCTCCCCAAAATGTTGTTTGATTTTTTCATATTTCACGCATTCCTTTCCGTAGTTTTGCATAATTCTCCACACCAATATTCGAGATTTGCAAAAATTCAAGTTTTAAAAATTAACTGAAAACAACTTCACCTCGTTTTCTCTCGTACAACATTTCTCTTAGCCCGATTTGAAGAAGAAATTACAGCTAAATTTAAAAAACAAACACATCTTACTACAACCACACCAATAACATGTACAAGAGAATCTCACGACACTCAATTTAGGTTAAAACCAGATTGAAATGGATAAAAAGATCTCCTGAACTTCAATTCAACATTTTATTTAGACCACATGGAACACTCATAAACTCAAAGAAAACGCGAACCGAAAACAATCTGTTTTGAGAAAAGGACACTTTCGAGAGAGCAAAAGAGAAAACACCTGATATAAAAGGACAAAAAAGTTACACACAAGTACAGACTCTACTCAAACAGACACTCAAAAATAATCTCATCTGGCCTCCACAAGACTTCAGTCAAAAACATGGGTTCACGATGTGCGAAGAACCCCGACCCTTAATTTTTACTAAGAGTAGCTCTATTATGAGCAACTCTTTGAAAAAAACGAACTAATTAAACGGCTTTTGTAATGCAAATATAACGAACAAAGATCATAACTAAAAAGGGGAGTTAAAGAGAAATTAAAATCGACGACTTTCCGTTTCTGGAAAAGATAATTGGTTGCGTTTGCCGCAGTCACAAAACTCACAGGATCTAAAGTATAAAGCCAATGTCTTAGCAAAGCTATTAATTGAACAAAAACAATGGCCAGCTCGATATTGAACTCGGAAACACGGTTCCTAGTTACTTGGCGCTTCACTCAGAGAAAACAAACCCCCCTATCTCGTTATTTGATAAAATGTTGAGAATGCACTAGTCTCGCTCTACCTAATACTTCACAAATTCGACATATCATTATGCGAATCTGCTGCCTCAAAACGACCTTCCACTCACTACAATCCTCGCCAATCTCTAATTCTTTCTCGATAACAATTATTTCACTGATCCGAGCAACTGCCACTTTTCTCAAAAAATTTACTCCAAGAAACCAGAATAAACTCCACCCAACTTTTATTTAAAAACATTTTGAGAGCTTCCCAAACCCCTGATGGGTAAAACCAGTTCAAAACAAATATTTTTCAAATCCAATTATATTCTTGATACTATCACTGTAAATATATAAAACTAGCCAATCAAGATACATGACTAAATCTTGCGATAATTTGTAAGGCTGGAATTATATATAAATTTAGCCAGAGAAGAATAAAGATAACTTAAACATCAGTTGCTCTTTCTCTCATATAACCGCGCAAGAACACCATTTTATACTAGATCTATTGAGACCAGCCAATGAAAGAGTAAGACTAGGATTGGTATTAGACTAAGATTTAGCACAAATCTATCCCGCCGAAAAAAAAGGTTACGTGACGAACAGGCGGTGTACCCTATCCGAAAAAACTCTTTGAGAAAGCCAGCCCGGATTTAGATTGTTTTTCAATATACCACCCCTCAATCCCTCTCGTAAAATTACAAAATTAAACTGTTCAAAAATTGTTCACATGCCATTGGTAACATTTTGTTCACGTTTTATTGTTGTTTAAAACATAAAAAAGTCTTTTTATTTAGCTTTTAATCAAATAAATTTCAGAAAAAAAAATCAAAGAGGAGGAGAATCGAAAAGAGCCTTGATTTTTATTCACTTTTTTAGATGAGGGTTGGCTTAGAGAAGGCGCTCGCTCTGCACAAATAAGTTCAAGCCAAGATAATTTCTCAATTTTGCAGTAGTATCTAACATCCACATGCCCAGTACCTCACTATACTTTGATCAAAAGGAAATAAAGCGGCTCTCTATCCTTCCCCCGCCGACCACGTTCGTCAAATTTGGTGTTTCGATTATCAGTCTCGACCAAAATTCGGTGTGTTTTTCAATTCTTGGCCAAATTTTGGTTCATTTTGTTTTCTCGACTGCATTACGAGGCCAAACTGCGCATTCTGTGCATTATATGCGGATTCCGCAAGAGGCACAATTCATATTTGTTGCGGAACCCGCAACCTTGCTAAATTTTTTCAATATTCTTCGCTGTTTTGGATTCCACTAACAAATACCTAAAACACTGTACCGTTCAAAATGAGCGGTATCCAGAAAAGTTTGTGGAATCCACGAGCAAATAATAAGACATGTGTATAGTGGCATTGAGCTGTTGCGGAATCCGTAACTGTAGCCAAATCCGCACACTGTACGTGGAATCCGCAAATTTTAAGTGGAACTCGCAAATTGTAAGTAGAATCAGCATTTTGTTTGCGGAATCCGTTTATATATATGCATGTGTAGTTCTGTGCATTTTCAGCATTCTGTGCAATTGAGACAGATCAGTTTCTTGAGAATAAGACATTTAAAGCTCTAACTTTGTTTAGTAATTGTGAGTTCGCTTTTCAGAAATCTTTATTGAATAGCTAACTCATGATTTCATTCTGTCATCTCTTCCTAAATACTGTCTTCATAAATTGAATTCACGCTCCCAAATACTAAATCTCAAATACTGAATCCCAAATGCTGAATCTCAAATACAAAATCCCAAATGCTGAATCTCAAATACTGAAGCCCAAATATTGACCTAATTCGGCGATATGTCAACCCAAAAATGAAGTAATCCAATTACCGAATCAACCCAATGAAATTATTCGTTGTTGTGTTTCCAAAACTATGATCCCAAAAACGGATTGAAAAATACTAAAGTGTGGCATCCATCAATTTAGTAAACCAATCTTTTAAGATTTGTTTGTGGGTTCCGCTGACAATTGTTAAGTTCTTGCTTTTAAATTCCGCAATTGCGTATGCAAGTTCAATAGTAAACAAATTTCTGAATTCCTTTACCGTTTTCGGAATCCGCTAACATTTTGCGCAATCCACTTGCGGTTGCGGAGTTCACAACAGCTGGCTATGTTTGCTTGTTGCGGAATCCGCAACAAATTAACTGTGCCGACAAAATTTGCGTTGCAAGTATATGAACGCGGAGTCCACGTAAATCTTTTAAGTGGAATCCACTTACATTTTGGAACATGTTTAAATTTTTGTCTGTGGACTCCAAGAACAAACAGACACAAAATTGTGCGCCTATCCAGTGCACAGTTTGGCCTCGTAATGTTGATTTTGCTCCACCCAGCTCATATAAATTTCGGATGTCTCGACATTCTCGATTGAAAAAAGTTCCAGTTTACTTGGTCAATCTAGCTAAACACGCTTCCACTTTTTGACCAAAACTTATTTTTCGAACCTCTCGATCGAGGTTTCAGTGTTTTGTTCGACATCAAAGACGCCCGCGAGAATTCGTTTGGAGGTGCGTTAGTTTTAATCAAATTCAGAATTTCAGAAATTCAGATAGTTTTTAAAAAATTCAGCTCTCCTAACACACTTTAAAACGTATTTTTTGAATCATTGATAAAAAAAACTTTTTTAGGATTGTTTTGTTAAATTTTGACCGAAAAATCAGGGCCAACTACCTCCCCATCGACACGCTTATTCTATCCCATCTTCGAGTATAAGACGGAAGCGAAACTACAATACATAGCGCCGTTCTGAAATATGGACCGAGCGATATGTCTTACAGCTTTAAAATGTGCTTTGTGCGCTGTTACTAAATGAGGGGCTTATCTGGATTTTATATGCAGGTGCGCAAGGTAGCAGAGAGCATGCAGCTGCCGATTTACGGACAGCTCATATCCCAGTTGTACAACAGGTGCGACAGAGAGAGTAACTCCCAAATAAGGTCAGTTGCTGATTCTGATGCTGCTGCAGATTAAGGAATGAAATATATGCAGTTAGAACAATTAACCTAAAATTTATCATCCATGTTGAGCATACATGTTGCTGATTTCACAAAAAAAATGATTGTGACTTGTAGTGCATTGTTTAAAAAAAGTAGCAACCGGGGGTGTTTTGAAAAAGTAGTTACGGGGAGAAGAGGTATTGATGATTTGGATGAATCTCTAGAATATGCTGTAGAGTGTGTTGTGAGTGCGTGTGTGCGGGTATAAACTTTGTTTAGCTGGGGGTTGCTACTCAACTTCCTGGAGGCGGGCATAGGTGGCGCGAACTGCAGAGTGGCAATGGTGAGGCGAGAAAAAGCGGAGGAGGTGGCCAAAGACACTGAGATGGAGATTGACCAGAACAAGGCTAGTATGAGTAGACGCAGAGCAAGCAATGTATTTGGAACAAGTGCAACTTTATTATCTAAAATATCTAGAGCAACATTTATCTACATTATCTAGAACAAGTGCAACCTGGGCCAAAGCCCATTGCTTATTCCGAATCAAAATTTTTTGCCTTATTTGAAACAAGACTTGAACGGTTTCAGCGGCTTTTTATGCAAAAAAAATCTTGCTGCAGAATCAGCGCCTTGAGCGGTTTTTCACAAGTTGTTGAGCTTTTTTAAGCAATTTTTTTATACAGAAACTGCACAAGGTTTTAACGTTTTCAATTGATTTTTAGCATAATTTGACCTCAAAACCGATCAAATCTTACGCATTTTGCAGTGGTTTTTCTAAAACAACCGCTCAAACACAGTTCAAATGTTGCGCTGTGTTATACAGTGCTGATTTAAATTAACCGGACAAAACGCGGTCATTTTGGCTTTTCTTAGTTAATCAAAAATTACGCCAAAACTATCTAGTCGATCACAGACATAATTATATCAAAATGAGCCACTTACGTAGCCCAACAAACTTCATGAAGGGTATAATCTCCAAAAAAATTGCAAACCGATTAAAAATGGTTTTTAAATAAAAAGTTAGTATTTTATATAGCAAAAACGACCTTTTTTTCTATTAAACAAAAAAAGTATCCTATACAAGGTTTTGGGTGAATATACCCGTCTTAAGGTTTGTTGAGCTAAGTAAGGGGCTCACTTTGATATAATTATGTCTGTTATCGACTAGTTATTTTTGGCGTAATTTTTGATTTACTAAGAAATGCCAAAATGCCATTTGGGGTAAAATTTTGGGCCCGAATTTCGCAAAAAAAATTACACCAAAATAGTTCTGTTAAAATTTTAAGCAAGTTTTGTCTTCATAAAATTTCACCTAAACTCAACCCAATTTGAGAAAAACAGGTTTTAAATTTCAAGTTTAGGGATTTTGTCCGGTTAATTTAAATCAGCACTGTAGCGGGATTTCTAAATAATCGCTCAAAAACCATTCGGATCTTGCGCGGTTTTCGAGCGTTTTCTGTGAAAAAATAAGCCCAAAAACCGTTCAAACCGCTCAGTTTACATCACAATTTTGAAATTAATTGTCTAAGGAACCGCTCAAACTGCGCAAGTTTTGCTTCAATTTACGCACGAAAGCTCAATTTAGGCAAGCAGTGGGCGGATTTTATCAACTCGGCAAATTTTTACCTTATTTTTTGATCATGTCTAACCATATTAACTTTGCGTGCTGTGCCAAAACATAATTATATACATACATAGATATACATCTACATGCATTCGTTTACACAAATAAAGATGTATACATAAATTTTACTTGAATACTTACATAAATACATGCATGCAGTCATACAAACATACATGCACACATACATAAATACAGGCATATACATTCAAACATGCATAAACACATACATAAATACCTTCATACATACATACATACATACATACTTTCATACATACATACATACATACATACATACATACATACATACATACATACATACATACATACATACATACATACATACATACATACATACATACATACATACATACATACATACATACATACATACATACATACATACATACATACATACATACATACATACATACATACATACATACATACATACATACATACATACATACATACATACATACATACATACATACATACATACATACATACATACATACATACATACATACATACATACATACATACATACATACATACAAACACACATACATACATACATAAATACATACATACATACATACATACATACATACATACATACATACATACATACATACATACATACATACATACATACATACATACATACATACATCCAAACATACATACACACATACATACATACATACATACATACATACATACATACATACATACATACATACATACATACATACATACATACATACATATA